GTGCATGTGAAAACTGACATAAGGGTAGCATTTACTTAGTCTGGAATAACGGCCATATTGTTAGATATTTACCTTAACAGGCGAAACATATTTGTAGATAGATAGATTAAGGTGTTTCGGGGGCGAAATGGCTTTACTGTCTTAAAGATTTCCGCCAAACAGTGACAATTTATTCCAAGATCAACTAATGCCAATGAAATAAGACCTTGCCTCTTAACACATTTGTAGTGATTTTTTAGCTGGCCGTAAATATTAGATTTCTACATACAATTGCTAACTATGGTAAACACTGTGTTACCGAACGGGTAAATTTCATATTATTATAAGTGTCACGGACAGACCTCCGTCACATACACACTTAGTCTATTAATGTCAAGTATTCAGCTATTTTTATTTGCACTCCTTTTTATAGATTCCAAAATAAACCTGTTTTCCCATCCCATCCGCCTTTTCCTTTGCTGTCCACGACAATAAGCGGTACGAAGTTAGCCAGCTAGTAAAAACATAATAAATTCTATGTTAGCACACTACGTATTTAACAGATATATCTAAAACAGGGTACATCTATTTGTTTCGTAGGTTTTCCCGCACATAACTCATTAAATAAAACTAATTTTATTTAGGGTACATCTATTTAAATGTTATTAACTAAACGCTCAAGCCTCGTAGAAATTAACAAGTCACGTTATCAAACACAATATAGTACAGGTAGTTAACACATGCTGCGTTATTAGACATTTCCCAGAAAGCAATTAATTTGTCCATGCATATACTTATTAAAGTATCGTCGTGTACGAACAATAGCTTCAATAGGAACTCCTTTGACATCGTAATTAATTTATCAACAGTAATACCACTGTGAATTTTAATTAGCAATAAGCTTGAAATGCTTCGCAAAAGATATTATGTGATCTTATGTAGGTTCTCCTATGAATACAAAACACCAAAATCTTGAGGGAGAAGATTATTTATTAAATGCTAAATCTGTTATTAATTAATGTAAAATGTTTTGGTATTTTGTAATGGTAAAATAAATTTACGACATCTGACTTCAAAGAACGCCTTACTATACTTTGGCTAGCTGCACCTTTGATACATTAATTTTGGTCTTGCTTTTGGTATACATAGTTTCAAATACAGTACTGTGAAGTGCTTTATAGCTCGGATATTGTTTGCAGATGACTTTAAAGTTTATTTGTGTTGTGTTCTGTACATTTATAACAATAGAATGAATGCTAGAAAAAAAATGGGCTTTATGAAAAACACTCATCAAGGCCGAGTACCAACCAAAAATTAAAAAAGGGATCAAAATTAATTTAGGTATTTAGTTTAGGCTTTTACAAGCACATGTGGAAGTCGAAAGCTACGGCATCGCTTCGCACATCTACGGCGACAGACCTAGTACTGAGAAAAAACGCCAAGAAAATGTGATATATGTGTGTGTAAAAATAGTACAGCATCACTAGTATCACTACAACAGCTCCGGCGCACCTCGGCGGCGGCGCTGCATTCATGCAACGGGCCGAGGCCACAGAATCTCTTATCTATTAGACAAGTCCGTCCGTCCGTCTGTCTGTGGTGCTGTTTCAGCGGCCAAACCGTAAGAGATAGATAAAGAGAATGTTTAAGTTATAAGTTAAGAATAGTCTGATAAGACTACAAACCGGATTTGAGTAACGTAGCACTTCCGGTTTTCGAGAAATCAAGAATTTCAAACGAAACCACACAAAATCTCCGAAGTTCTCAATTAATTAAATACATTTTTTTTTAAATCAGGTTTTGGTGAACATTTGGTTCACTGGTTTGCTAGTTTGCCATAATAGTACAAGCATCAGAGCCGTGGGCATCATAGCCGAGCCGAGCCGAGACCGAGTAGTTTCAGAGCGTTGTCCGTTGCTCGACCGTCATTCGGTTGCCTCTTGATACAGCGTGAGAGTATCCTTATAAAGTATAATCGATGACACAGGTGGTTAGCGCGTTCGGCTGCAATTGTTGGAGTTAAGCAACTTAAAAAATAATACAAAGAAATAATATCTAGGTGGCTAGCAAAAGGTATCTAGAGATTTTCCGTGCTCCCAAAGGCACGTTAAGCCCGGCTGCAATTGTAATCGTTAGCACCCACCAATGGGCCTGCGTGGTGGGTCATGGCCCAAACTCCCCATTCCATCCATAAGGAATGCCTGTGCCCAGTGGGGACATTAATAGGCTGATGATTATAATGTATATTAGTTGACTGTGCTACGGCCGACGTTCGGCTCTGACCCGACACTGTCCAGCGTCCTTCCGTCCACCGTCCTTAATACTTCTCTCAGTAATACCTTTGCAAAAAAAAATATACTTGAGAAGGGCGAAGACTAATAATAAAATTAAATAAGCCGATTAAATTAAATTTTAAACTTTCAAATAAACCAAACTGAAAATACGAAGAATGTTTTATCCAAAGTATAATTTATTCACATAGGCATTGTTTAAATTAATCCTCTTTATCATTGTTCGAGATTATTTAAGTCAACTAGAAATCCTTTCATATCATTATTATGTAGATTTAGCACCTCTGATGTTTATTCAAAGCCGATCCACTGTAATGGGATTAATTTCAATTCGTACATAACGCGCTAACATTTGAAAAGGATATTCAATTAACACGAACGACTGAAGAAGCTTTTTGTTGAACAAACGTGGTCGATTAAACACGGAATCGATTAGTCGAACTTTATCGTTTAAAAGAGAATTGTTGTTACTTCATTACTGCAAATGAGATAAATCTACTTACACGAAGACAATTTTGTATTAATACGTCTTTTGATTATAGTTCAGTCAATAAAGGTTTTCACCTCCGATTTCGTTGAATCTCCATCGATTTGAATGAAAATTGGTGAGTAGGTAGGGGGATACCTTAAGAAACAAAAGTGACATAGTGCCAACTTGCGCTTTTGCCTTGGGGGTAGATGCCAGCCCTTCCCGGGGGTGAAAATTATTTTAATAAAAATAACTCCTAAAATCGATAGAGAAACAAATTCTAAGCAAAATTTGTTATATAAGGTTTGTGAATTAAATCAATACTTTCTGAGTTATTAAAGACCAAACATTGTGATTTTTCGTGATAAAAATACATATTTTAAAGCGGTTTTTCATAAATAACTCAAAAACTATGAGTTTTTACAAAAAATGTATTATTATCAAAATTGAAGCTCATAAAAAAACAAACAAACCTCTACTTTAAAAAACCTTCTAATATTAAGTCAAAGTGAGCTATAGGTAATTTTATATATATGTTTTTTTCGGCGAGTACTAAAATCTAAGTATTCAAACCTAAATAAGGGGAATCCGATGCATTTTATGACAAATACTTCCTGAACCATTTTTTAAGTCCTCGAAAATACCTTTCTAATGAGCATTGTAAAAAGTTAATAGCATCAAAATTGAGCAAGTTATAATGAAAATAAGCTGACAACCAGCTGACACTGAAAAACCAAAAATAATACTTTCACCATTTCCACAAAAAATCAACAATATGGTTATCCCTAAAGGACTTCCTTTTTTTTAGCATAAGTGATGACCTCAAAAATTTTGCCTGGTTTAGAACGCTTAGTTTTTAAAAGGTAAAGGGTTAAAGGGTCCCAGTTACATGTTTCTCGCAGTAAAAGTTAGGCTTTCAACGTCTCTATCTCGGTTAGTTTTCATCCTATAAAAATAAAATAAAAACCAAAATGTTTGTTAAAAAAAGAAATCATTTTTTACGAATATCCAATATTTTTGAAGTTATTTTCAAAAGAAAATGAAATTTACGGAATTATGAAAAATTTCGATTTTATGAAATCATACTTTTTTTTTAAATAAGCGCTCCAAACAGGGCAAATTTTTTGAGGTTATCACTTATGCTAAAAGAAAGAAAGTCTTTTAGGGATAACCATAAATTTGAATTGGCCTGGAAATGGTAAAGGTTTTATTTTTTGTTATTTCCAAAAAAAAATCGAAAGTGTCATCTTATTTTTATCATAACTTCATCAATTTAGATGCTATTAACATTTTACAGTACTCATTAGAAAGGTATTTCCGAGGACTTTAAAAAGTGTTTAGGAAGTATATGTCATAAAATGCATCGGTTTCCCGTTATTTTGGTTTGAATACTTAGATTTAAGTCCTCGCCGAAAAAATATACATACAATTACCTAAAGCTCACTTTGAATTAATATCAGAAGGTTTTTCAAAGTAGGGGTTTGTTTGTTTATTTATTAGCTTTAATTTTGATAATTATATTTTTTTTGTAAAACATCATAGTTTTTCAGTTATTTCTGAAAAAACCGCTTTAAAACATGTATTTTTATCACGAAAAATATCAATCTTTGATCTTTAATAACTCGAGAAAGTATTTAGTTATTCCACAAACCTTATATAAAAAATAACTTCGCTTAGAATTTGTCTTTCTATCGATTTCTGGAGTTGTTTTTATTGAAATAATTTCCACCCGCAGGAAGGGGTGGCATCTCCCACCAGGGCAAAAGCGCAAGTTGGCACTATGTCACTTTTGTTTTTTAAGGTATCCCCCAATACTACACTCACCAATTTTCATGAAAATCGATGGAGGTTCAACGAAATCGGAGGTTGTAGCTGATTTTTGCCTTCATTGACTGGACTATTATAGTTTCATAATAATATTATGAGTCATAAGTAGAGTAATGATGATTATTTGTTTTAGATTTTCCTTGTGTTTGTTTTAATTTAAATTGTGTCTAACAATAGTGTATAAATACTAGCTGACCCGGCGAACTTCGTACCGCATACAATAGGAGAATGTCGTTACTTTTAGCTTTATTTAAAAAAATCGCATAAATTTCTACGAGCGCGATTGCATCCTTTTAGTACTTTGGCTAATTTCAATCTTCCCGTTTGCACTGTGATAGATGTTGCATCCGTGTATCACCCTATCTCACCGAAACAAATCCAAATTTATTTTAAATTTAGATTTTGAAGACACAAAAAGGAATACCAAACCTCACCTGTACTCGCTGACAGCAGATGAGGCTCTGAGTGTGCGTGAGTATCCTGAGCACCATGTGTTCTATTGTACTCTGCTCCTCGAACACCATCCTCGCCAGGTCCAGCAACACCTGCGACGTTTTATTATATACTTTTTGAGAAAATCGAATCTGAGCTGTTTGTTAGGCGTCAGCCATATTGAATTGAATTCGAACATAAAATACAAACCGTAAACATTTTTTTTATTAGTGGTGCCCAAAAAGGTCGAATATGGTAGAAATACTATAAATGCTCTTCTTCAAGAGAAGTTTCAAAAGAGTGTTACACGAAACACAGCAGCGTCATGGTAGGGTTACTGACATTGCTGATGTCCGTGATCGTCTGCCTTCAAAGGCAATAAAAAAATAGACAAAATATTGGTTGCGGATAACTGAAATAATATTTAATCTAAACACAATATTTTGTAATAAAATTCAAACTCGTAATAATCCAACACACCTGGTTCCTCTTCACCTCCAACTGGGAGCGTTCGTACAGCTGGGCGTTCCGCAGACCGATCCCGCAGAACTGGAGATAGGAGGCGAACACCTTCTCGTCGTTGGCGGTGAACGGTCCGTCGTTCTGCTTGTTTATCACCTGGAATTTGGAGCTGGTGTGGTTACAGTTATCATTGTGTGAGTATTCTGTGTGATATATGTGGGTACTTTGGATAAAACAATAAAATAGCCTAAATAAAACAAGTTTCAACGGGTTAGATGCACTGAATTTATTTATTTATTGACGTTTCTCATCCTTTGCAGGTATTGCGTTGAAACTTGTTTTATTTAATGAGTGATGTGCGTGAAAACCTTAGAACAAATATAATATAATAGCCTATAAAGAGGTACAAGTAAACGCTTGGTTAGAGCATATCATGGCAGGCATATCGCTCAATGAAGTGTTCATTAATACCGCGCGATCGCTGCGCAGTTAGTTACTCACAAAGAATTTCAACGTTAAGTCCTAGTATTTAATAAAACATAAATCTTTTATGACTGAACAGTTATTACAGCGCGGTGACCGCGCGGCCGCCGTGCCACGTGATGATCCAGTACTGTCACCGCGCGCCCGCCACGCTGTGACATTCTGTGTCATATACACGCGCCCTGAGTGGCCGGTCGCTGAATGTGATAACACCGCTCGGGTATTACCATGTTTATTGATGGGTTTCCTACTTTTTCATTGATCACGGAAGGGAATGTCGACCATTGGTTCTTGTCAGTAATTGGTGCCATTGCCTTACAACGGAATAATAAAATTTGATGAACTCTTTTAGGGATGAAAGCATGCAAGCAGGAGGCATTATAATAATGAATATTGATTCAAAATCTACAAATAATATGATTTGTCCGGACAATGACATTATTTATTATTGAAAGTTCTCCCAACTAACGAACAGATAATGCCCAGATTATTTTTATTTATTCAAAATACACATGATCGCAATACTAGGACAGAATATACATTCCATTGCTAAATGAAATATTACAGACATCTATTACCGTTTACCGCTATATATCACTAAGTTCAGAGTTATCTAAAGAAACAGTTTAGGAAAATATATTTACTGTTCAACGAAACTTTTTGTTGTAAACTACCTACTTTAACTTAATCATAAAATATTAGTTTCTATTTTCATTCACCAACAAAAGCTATCGGGTAATCAAATAAAAAATCAATCACGTCTCATGATTTATTCACGGCTGACGTATCAATTCATATTCTCAAAAGACTTATTGCCCCAGGCAGATGGTTCGAGTAAGGTTGAATTCCTTTCTGTCCTTTTTATTCACAAAGTTTTTTCTATTCGATCCTTGTTCTCATTTCTTTTCATCCAGAACAGTACGAATGACAGTGACAAAAATAATAAATTGTTGTCAATTCTGTCGGGAAATCAGACTGTAGGTGAACACCGATTCCTTTTATTTACTTTATGTCAAACTAGCTTCCGCCCGCGGCTTCAGACGCGTTATAAGTAGTTAGTTTTTTGAGAATCCCAACTAAAATGTTTCCGGGATAAAAGTATCTTTAACTACGCAACAAAAAAAATCTATCAGTTAAATAAATTTTTGGAGGAGCTCGACGGCGCAGAGGAGCTCGATGGCGCAGAGGAGCTCGATGGCGCAAGTGGTTAGCGCGTTCGGCTGCTATCGTTGAAGTTAAGCAACTTTCGCAGTGGTCGGTCATTGGATGGGTGACTAAAAATTACTATCTCGAGCTCCTCCGTGCTTCGGAAGGCACGTTAAGCCGTTGGTCCCGGCTGCATCTGCAGTCGTTAGCACCCACCAATCCGCACTGGGCCCGCGTGGTGGGTCATGTCCCAATCTCCCTATTCCATCCATAGGAAAAGCCTGTGCCCCAGCAGTGGGGACATTAATAGGCTGATGATGATGATGATGAAATAATTTTTAACGGTAGGTTTATATAATTATATAAAGAAAGTCATTGTGTATGATACAAGCCTGAGAACAAAAACTGTAGTCTACACTACAGCACTACACCGAAGCCAAGCGAGGGCAGGCCACTAGTATTTTATAATCAGCAACACATTTCACCAAAAATACTAGATATCTACAGATATTAAATCCGATATCATCACAGTGCACTACATTTACAAGTACCTACGTCATTTTAACGCAACTTATATGTGGGTATTTTTCAATAAGAGCACTATGAAAATATATTATTAATATCTTAAATCGTGTTACAACATTTCATAAAAGTAATTTCAATAACACGTCAGAATATTCACAACTTGACGTGATAAGGGTCCTCGTGACTTTCAGATTATTTCAAACATAATTTTTTTCACAAAAACCCTTAGGACATCGATCAAAGTTGCGTTTAATGTTGAAGAGTAACAACAACATTAGTTCCGAAATTATTCTAGTATCGAATAATCTTATGCAATCTTTAATATAAATTTGTATCATTTGGTCCTGTAATTGGATTGATAACGAACACATAGCATCGGTGGCTACTAACTCCCAGATTTTCATTTTTATTTTAGTAAACTGGAGAATATCCCTTCCAGCTTTTCCTCTCGTCACGCAGTGAATCTGAATTTTTTGAACGTATTTTCGAAAACAAGATACGATGTCCTAAGCTAATATATATATAAGAGCTTTTCCAGAAGTACGATTAACGTACTTATTTCGAGATCATAAGAGGCTGAGAAAGAAAAGTCCAGGATTTAAAATGATCAATGAACCCAAAATCGCGATATCGTCGGAAAAACGCGTAAATCGTCTCATCTGCAATTTAGGAGAGCTCTAAGCCAACCATGTCAATTGCGGCAATACTCAAGTATCGGCAAGATTCAAGTATGGGATAGATATGTATGTCTTACACTGTGTACGCGTGTAGTTGAAGATTTGCCAGACCATCTAGTTCTAACATAACTGGATACAAATGTATTTAGCCAACATAATTATTTTCCCAATACGCTGTCGATGATTTCCTTTCGACAGTAAATTTTCATTCAAAAGTTTTTCAGAAAAGGAGTACTGCCGTTCCCCTGAAAATGTACCCATTATTTTGCTAAAGTCCCCCATATTTAAAATGTGCAGTGCTTAGGGTGGAAGGTAAAGATGGTAGGAAGAAGAAGGTTATAGCGCCAATCCCATTTCCTACTAATGTTATAAGTGCGAAAGTTTGTATGTTTGCTACTCAATCACGTAAAAACTACTAAATGGATTTGGGTGAAATTTGGTACGCACATAGTTTATGACTTGGATTTAAACATATGATACTTTTTATACCGAAAAACTGTTAGGTTCCTGAGAGAGTCTCAAAAAACTAAAATTAACGCGCGCGAAGTCGCGGGCGGCCGCTAGTTCATTAATAAATACTTCAATGAAGATACAGTATTGAGCATAAATGAAACATTGTACCTTCACCGTTTCATTGTTTCATTTGGGATAAGTACCTACCCCAAATAGTGAATAAAGGGCAACATAAAACCGTTTCCAGCCGTCGACTTTTACGATTCGCTTGGGACGACAAGAGGCTGACATGTGCTTCTTTTCGTTTTAGATCAAAGTGGTGGAAAATCTTTTTACAGTAGGCGGATTTATTGTTTTATGTGAGAATAGCGTCAAACCACCATAATGTGAAAGCCACGTTAAATAAAATTATTTGATTGTTATGAACAAGTATGTGTTGGTAAACACTTGCATCATTTACGAATATCATTTGCAGAATCTCATAGAATTTTCTCTCACTACATATCAATCTTGAGCTCAAGCGATTGCTCAAAAGTGCAAACAAAGTAGCAACTTTTAAATGAGAAAGGTCACAACATAACACATTGACCGCCCAAAGTAGTATAACTTGCATAGTAGCTATAATTTAATCTGTAGCGGAATGCCCATTTGGGGAAGTATCCTCCACCTTATTGTTATTTTCCTGCATTCTAGTTCTCTGTGTAGATCTATAAATTGGCTATGGTGGCTTATTAATATTGGGCGGTATAGTATTTCAATCATGATTTGATTAACCGACATATAACCTACCAAATTATTTTTGTAGGTGCTTACTAAGAGACTACTAAGGTAGATAATTCAACATAGAAGCGAAGCTAAGCACATTTCTAGATAGTAACCTCACCTTACAGAAAATTACATTGAAATAGGATATATCCTAAAGTTATAAACATTGGGTAGTCTTGGGTTTTTGTCAGTCAGTAAGGTAGGCTACACGGAGTTGGGAATGTCGTTAGGCCAGGGCTAGACAACACGCGTGTGTACTGTCATCGTATAATATAAGCTATGTCAGTCGCTCGCCATCGGGCGGGCCATACGCATGTCTTCCAACCAAACCTAATTAAAAATCATAATATTTGTATAGTCACAGATTAACATGCGGAATAAGATGATAATTACCTGAGCGACGCCGATGACCTCTCCGTTGATGTCCTTAATTGGCATGCATAGGAGCGACCTCGTTTTGTAACCCGTTTGTTGGTCAATGTCGTGGTTAAACCGCTCATCCTGTGACAATAAACAACAGTGTGTTTAGCGTAAGTCTCAACAACAGGTTTTTATACGCATCATGTTTTCACAATAATCTTATTGGCAAACAGGTGGCAGAATGACGATTACACCTGATAATGTAAATTTTATTGACGTGGAAAGCAACTCAAGATCGTATTACTCGTAAACATTTATTAAACCTACTCCATACAACATTAATATGAATTAAATATAGATTCTTGGTTATTACCGTAGCAGCACAGAATAAGGACACAACACAGAAGATAAATTCGTTTATTCAAATGACGAAACACCGTCCCGGAAATAATGATTTTGTCCAAAATAAATTCTTGGGTTATATAACTCTGAGAAGAGCTTTTGTGCGTAATATTCGCTTCACTCTTGGCCATCACTGCAACTTCACGATCACCGCATCTGCTCAAGCAGCCGTCATGGCGCGCCGTGCATCTTCGAGGCCTCCACACGGCCGCATCGTAGGTGTCGCCCGGCGAATTGGGCGAGCTTTTTTTTTGAGTGTGTATGCTGTTGGTCGCAGATGACCTTTAAAGCGTCACCGGGTTTCGGGACGGCGAGATCCTAAGAGGTTCCCCTCAAGCCGAGAATTGACGAGTGCCACTTCGTCTGGAGCCTCTAGACCACTCGAACCTGAGGGCGTCGGCTCAACTAGAAAGCGTCTCTGAGACTCTGACCTCGGCTCTAGTTAGCCGTTGTCGTGGGGGGCGGTTTAGGTACCGGTACCTGATATAGCGTATCGTGTGTTGACCGGGCCTTCGCACTCTTATCCTATGGGTGCGGTGTCTGCCTAATGCTAAGCTAGTGCGTGTTGGTGTTTGTGGCCTGTGTGGGAGGAGTCGGAGGCGCGTTGGCGAGGGTGATTTCGTCGTCGGGGTACTCTAAGACGTGCCTAGGCCGACGGAATCGGAAGAACTTACGATTGAAGGACGGAAGAATAACCTTGATACGCCATCTACGGAACCCATCGCCAAGATTGATAGCGGCTGATTGAAGTCTATTACAGTCTGTTCCGTGACGTCCATCAGGGGTGTAGAGGGCGGTGTCGTCGGCGCAAAGCGCGAGATCGACTTTAGGAGTCTTGGGCCATGTCGTTCGTAAAGACCGAGTAGAGGATAGGCGAGAGCAGAGCGTTACTTCGAAGCGATAGCGAAACGAGCGATTCGACAAAAAGTCCCGTATGATGAACACGAGTCTGTCCGGCACCCCGAGTTTTATATAGCTTATAAATTAAGCCATTGCTTTCGCCACGTCGAAGAAAAGCGCATCTGTGGGGACCGCGGGACCTCGGGCCGGCACAGAATAAGGACACAACACAGAAGTTAATTCGTTTATTCAAATGACGAAACACCGACCCGGAAAAAATGATATTGTCTGAAATGAATTCTTTGGTTATAAAGCTCAGAAAAGAATTTTTTTTTGTGCAAAATATTCGCTTCAATCTTGGTCATCACTGCAGCTTCACAATCACCGCATCTCCTCAAGCAGCCGTCACGGCGCGCAGTGCAACGCCCGCACGTCGTGCGCGCTCTTTTGTTGAACTAGTTATATCACTACAACGTATTAGGGGCTTCTTTTAGCTACGGAGATGAACGTAGGCAAGAAACTCCCCAATATTTAATGAATGGTAACGACATTAAGAAAACACAATGTAGTCACAATCACAATGTCAACACAAAATCCAATTATACGTTCTTCATAATGGGAAATCCTATTGGGAGCGATTGAAACAGTTCCAACTTAACCATTCTCGCCTCCTACATAACTCAATTACAAGCTGTCCGAACTTGTAATGCTCTTCCATAGATCAAAATTTATTCAGACGTAATATTGTTAAGGAGACTTTATTGAAAAAAACTGTACTAGTGCGAGTCGGACTCGCCAGCCGAGGGTTCCGTACACATTTGGAGGTACGCAACATGAACGGCCGTATCTCGTTTTTACGTTAACTTAGAAGTTTGATTTTTACACAGCTTTAAGGGACCGTAGACCCGAGTATATGGTTTAAATTTCAACACGATACCTCTACGCGTTTCCAAGATCAAGGATCCCGACAGACGGACGGACGAACATACGGACAATAAAGTGATTTACAAGGGTTACGTTTTTTCTTATGATTAACGATACCCTAAAAAGCGTGTTTTACATAAATTAAATTAAGCTAATTGATATCAGACTTCACAAAGTTCAGACCACATTAAATCCCAAGTCAACGGACAGAGACTAATTTTGTGGAAACGTTTTTCCGCAGCGCCGCACCAACTGATCCGCCGCCTCTAATTGAGCTATTATGATGTTTTCAGCAACTAAACTACTAAATGAAGTCGCATAATGGGAACTGGGCTGAGTAAGGCTGTAATAAGAGTCGCGCGGGCTTGACCGCAGACCGCAGCTGTCCTCGCCTCTGTAGACCTCTCGTATGTACCAATTGCTCCTTTAACAGCACGTTTCACTCGCTTTGAATTCTCGTTATTGGTATTGCGTGACTTTGTTTACGCTTACCGCTTCATGTTACGGTATATTTAATAATCATAACATTTGCAATAGATTCTACTAATATCATGCTACGGCTTGTCCACAGGTTGGTACAATGGCAGCACTCCAGCCTTTTGTTGTCAGATTCTTTAATTCGAACTCAGCACAATAACACTGTAAAGGTCATCTGCGACCAACAGCATACATACTAAAAAAAACAAATATTTGCTCTTAAAACAAAAATATGAAACTAGCCAGTTTACCCAGTTTCTTAAAAATCTATATTGAGAGAAAAAAGAACAAAAAATATGTCCCATACTTAAAGAACATTATTTCAGGATTAAAAGTTTTATTAAAGGGAAGATTATTTAGAAAATGATTTTTGTTTTGTAGTCACAGTTCACAGTTATAATTTAAAAATAGTACATTCTCTTTGTGAATTTCATTGACATTATGATAATTACTCTCTCTCTTATATCATTATTTATATATTCTGAGAAAACAGCTTCTAAAGATAGCGAAATATTTTGCAAGTTGCACACATGTTATACTCTTTGTGCAACTAAATAAGACAGCCGCAATCGCTGTGACGTTAAATCACTAGTTTGTAGGTGGGTAGAAGTACTTCCCACTCGATTGCACGTTTTACTCAAAACTCGGATTAGCTTCGCAACCACAAAATATCTGCACAAGCATTTCTCAATCTCGAAACCAATGTGCAATAGGAGGTACTTTATATCAAGGCAAAACTTTAAAAATTTCCAATAGAGCCGGCAATATATAAATCATATAAACGTGGCGCCGATACATCGTGGACAAAGGAAACAAGTTAAAGAACGCGTCATAACATCGGAGCTTATACACAAGTCACAGGTCGAAAGTCTCTCTAGCCCCGGCATGTGAACATAGAAACACACAATCGAACACATGGCCGTAAGCCAAGACCGATACTGAAGGAGTACCGTTTATTATGTTCTACTGACAACTCGTTAGATTGGAGATCCACCATTCACTGATGCTAGATGGACGCTTTGAACGCGTTTCATTCATGAACACTACGAATATCAACATTTTTATACTAGTTCCCATGTTTTCAGTAACGAAAAATGACATAAACGAACAGATCACATAAGTGAATCAAGGTTAATTTTATGTGGAAAAGCCATGCGAGATGGAAACACACAAGTAGGGTTCTCTGTATTATGTACAAGATTTAAGACTAGGTGTCGATCAAAAATGGCGAACGCAGTCATTTTTATTGTTTTTATTTGTGTCGGTAAAATAATACCAAATACATATTTATAATTTTTATTATTTTTAAAGCATGTAACTGCTTGATGTTTAAATCTAAAGAAAATATAACTAGAAAAAATTCCACGCGGACCAGGCAGCAGACGGGACTCGAACCCGCACCCTTCGCAATCCGGGCGAATGCACTGACCAATTATGCTACCGCGGCCCTCACGGACCGCGTCGAAATTCTCTCTAGCTATTCTTAAGCTGCAAGGCAGCGCCATCTCTTCGCATTATAGGTAAACCCACAATGTCAAATGAATACTTTTACAAGTATTAAACATTTGAAAGAAGAATAGCAATTATAGTTATAATTTTTATTATTTTTAAAGCATGTAACTGCTTGATGTTTAAATCTAAAGAAAATATAACTAGAAAAAATTCCACGCGGACCAGGCAGCAGACGGGACTCGAACCCGCACCCTTCGCAATCCGGGCGAATGCACTGACCAATTATGCTACCGCGGCCCTCACGGACCGCGTCGAAATTCTCTCTAGCTATTCTTAAGCTGCAAGGCAGCGCCATCTCTTCGCATTATAGGTAAACCCACAATGTCAAATGAATACTTTTACAAGTATTAAACATTTGAAAGAAGAATAGCAATTATAGTTATAATTTTTATTATTTTTAAAGCATGTAACTGCTTGATGTTTAAATCTAAAGAAAATATAACTAGAAAAAATTCCACGCGGACCAGGCAGCAGACGGGACTCGAACCCGCACCCTTCGCAATCCGGGCGAATGCACTGACCAATTATGCTACCGCGGCCCTCACGGACCGCGTCGAAATTCTCTCTAGCTATTCTTAAGCTGCAAGGCAGCGCCATCTCTTCGCATTATAGGTAAACCCACAATGTCAAATGAATACTTTTACAAGTATTAAACATTTGAAAGAAGAATAGCAATTATAGTTATAATTTTTATTATTTTTAAAGCATGTAACTGCTTGATGTTTAAATCTAAAGAAAATATAACTAGAAAAAATTCCACGCGGACCAGGCAGCAGACGGGACTCGAACCCGCACCCTTCGCAATCCGGGCGAATGCACTGACCAATTATGCTACCGCGGCCCTCACGGACCGCGTCGAAATTCTCTCTAGCTATTCTTAAGCTGCAAGGCAGCGCCATCTCTTCGCATTATAGGTAAACCCACAATGTCAAATGAATACTTTTACAAGTATTAAACATTTGAAAGAAGAATAGCAATTATAGTTA